GTGCATTTACATTGATTTTCACGCGACATGGCTGATTGATTGATTATGGACTTCATAAATCAAGAATGCAATTAGTAATGATAATTTCTCTCTCTCTCTCTCTCTTTCTCTGTTTATGCATCTTTTCATATATAATAATAATAATAATTAAATCCATAAACTGGTTTGACAAAACTGGTTGCTTGAAATTAAAATTTCGCGCCTCTTCCCAATTTATACAAACAACCTAATGCGAATAATTTAAGTACGTGAAATGTAGGAAAAAAACCCAAACATAATGACGATACTCGTTTCGATAATTAATCGAATTAAAAGAACGGATAGGAATCGATATCTTCGATAATAAAATTAGCGCGGGATATTGGAACGTTGAAAAAGACTAGCGCGACTTAATCAACGAAATTCAACGCTCCCATCTATTCCGTAAAATTACACTTTCTCGACAATGCTTTGGCTACCGTGTACACTCATACTTCCTCGGCTGCGATATTTTCAAGCGCTCAACCTCTTTTCGGAGCATCGGTATTCTTGGAGCCGCGCCAGTCGCCGCTCCAATATGCGAGGACCTTTATCGTTCCTAATCGCGTACTTTCTCGCGATTCGTTCCAACTTTGGTCTCCTAGAGAGACAAACTCTGGACGGCGGCAGACCACCGTCACCGTCCTGGTTCCGTCCGGGAAACCGGCGTCGGGAGGTCGAGCGGATGCTGGCGGTGTTTGACAGCTTTACGTCAGACACCGCCATTCACACGGGAGCGAGTTTACATTAGCGGGCTATCCTGCACGCCACCGTTGATGAAAAGAAACGCAGACAGGGGCGGTCGGCAGGCGGTCTTTCCAGCGCAAAAGCTCCGCCTGCGAAATACAGCCGGCCTACGATGCATGCATGAGAAACGTCAACTTCTTCCAGGAGAGGCACCTCTCCTCCTCTCGCCTCCCCGTCCGTCCGTTTTGTACGTACGTCCGGTCGTGCCCGTTCGTAGGAGCGCCCTTCGAGTACTTATGCATGCTGATGCCCGGCGGCGTTTCGTGACGCGATACACTTTTCGTCGTTAACCCCGATTGACCTCGCCGAGTGAAAGTGACGCGACGTCCGGGTGGATCGATGCCCGAAACGGAAATCTTCACGAGCGACGCGTCGTCCCAAGAGCTGTCCCTTGCGTCTCCCATGGACAGCTTCTTGGGATTTCCCGCGGATTCGATCATCGATTTTCACGAGGGAACACCCGCCGCTTCTCTTCCGAAAGGAAGAGTCTTGTCTGAAGAGGGAGGCTTCCGTTACTTTCTTCCTTTCCGCTCTTTCTCTCGCGACTGACTGGCAAAAGAGTGAAAGAGGTTTTCGGGAAGGCCTTTGTAAAAGTGTGCCTTGTGAAAAACGGAGATTGAATAGGCCATAATCTCGGTGTCCGTCTTGCAACTTGTGTCCCCAGTCGGACGATCAAAGAGACGGGATACTTTCAAAGAGGAAAATTCTTCGCTCTCGACCCCAATTTCCCGTGTATTAAGTAAATTACGAGACCTGTTTTCGCGCAAAGTTAATTCGCTCACCCTGACCTACATTATATTACTGTGGAAAAATTGTTTTCTCTCGGCGAGAGATCGATAGAGGGTAATTTGTGGGTTATTAAGGTTCACAATCCGCGGATTTTTCACCGAAAATCGACCTCTCGGTCATTCAACGGCCGCGTTTCCCGTAAAATGAATTCTCGAGGGAGAGGGGAGGAAAAAATGCTTATTCAAATAAGAAGACCGGAGCCCATTCCGGCCGCTCCTCGTGCACACGAGAAGAACTAACGCGGGCATAAATTTCAACGGATAGTACGCACGTTGCTGGAACGAGAAGAAAAGACTTGCTCCCAAATTCTACGAACGCCTGCACGGTTATTTAGATCTTTCATTCTCTCGCGGATAACTCAAAGACTTTGTCATCCATCGCCTAAATTATTCCTCCGATATTTCCATAAAGAGAAAAAAGAAAGGAGAGAGAGAAAGAGATACTCATTTACACGACCATGAATTTTTCCTCGCGTTGCTGCACGTTGCCTCTACTACTTCAGATACTGTTGTACTTTTAATATGCTTTTAATGCACTTCATTTGGAGAAAAAGGAAAAAACTCCAATCTTATTAAAATTAATAGTTGGGAATTTGGCTCAAATAAAATAAAAATTAAATAAAAAATGGTATAAGAGACACACAGGTGGTTGGGGCGCAAAAAAGAAACAACACTTCCTTCTTATTAATTGTTTATTTCAAACTAAAAAATTACAAAAAAATAACATATTTTTATAGTTTTTTAATAGTAATAGTAGTTTTAGTAGTAATAATAGTAATAGTAGTTTTAGTAGTAATAATAGTAGTAGTTTTAATAGTAGAGTAATTTAATTCCAATCTCATTGCGAATTGTGTTTCGCATAGAAATCGATACCCGAGTGTGATTCAAAGGAACCGCTCGTACCTGAATCACGCTAAGTGAAAATACGCACGTAATAGAGCGGCTCGAGGCTTGGAAAAAAAAAGAAAAAGAACCGTTAGTCACACTCTGATAAAATATTCCAATTGCGACGCGCGGTCTCGGTCTCTCCTCCAGGGAGTGACGAGCGAATGATATCACGCTGACAAGCCGTAAATACATAATGAAGTGTGGAAACCCCGTATGTTTAAATCCATGAATGCCTCCATCCGTCATCGCGAGTGCGCATACACGCGGTGTACGACTTCGAATTTATAATCCCGTGCGTTCACGTATCTAGCATACCTACTCGCGTGATTCATCATCTCGTACGCTATTACACCGCGACAGATGAAGAGCCGTCGCTCAGGATATAAGTTCAAGGAAAAGTTGGACGTGTCGGGGAATATGCATTTAGTATCGCTCGCACGTGAATATTAATCCTTCAATTAACGATTTTTCCTTTATTTTTCCAAACATCCCCGTTTCTAGTTCGGACGGAATGTTGTTATTTGGGTTTAATAGTTTTCTTTCACGAGGAGGAAAATATATATATTTTTAGACACTTTATGAGAGAAGGGAAATATTTAGAGATTTAATATTTATAATTAATTACTTTTCCTACGGTTGTTGTATTGTTAAAATATACTAGCTTTTAATTTTATTATTCTCTCGCTTATAAATATTTAAAAGTGCAAATATATTAAATTTATCTAAAAATTCGAGATATAATGCAATAGTTCGATAATTAAAATGCAATTATAAAACATAATAAAAACATAGTAATAATAAATATAATAATAAGTTTGAAAGCTTTTTTCCTATTTTTCTTTCGATTCTTTAAAATATCTAAATATCTAATAAAATATCTAATTCGATTCTTAAAATTTCTCAATCAGAAAATATAATAATATATTTTTCTCTCCAAGTTTATTAATAAAAATGTATCTAAAACTTCAAGATACAACAGCTGGATTGAAATAAGACATTTGAACTAAAAAATAAGAATAATAAATTTGGAAGACTTTTTCTATTTTTATTTTCATTCTTCAAAATTCTCATTTAAAAAATATAATATATTTTTCAAGTTTTTTTATTAATAAATATATATGAATGTATTAAATTATGTGTATTAAATTTCTAAAAATAGTAGAATACTGAAAAAATATACACATGTAAAATAATATAAGTCAACGTTATTTAAGAATTCTTTCTCTCTCTCTGTTTTTCTATTTCACACACATAAATATACGTACACATTTTATAACATCCAATCTTTAAAAAATATTAAAAAGGCAAAACATAGGTAAAAGTACATACTATCATTATCTAAAAGCCACCTTGTTTCAGTTCACTAACTAAAACGCAGATGGCGGCAAAAGTCTCACTCACTTTTGGAGGTATCTATCCTGGTAGAAGATGTTTCTATATATGTGTGTGTGTGTGCAACCGCTTTTTCTTTTTTTCCTCTTTTTTAAATACTACGTAAAGTTGCGAGATTATTATTTATAAAATAGCTTCGGATAAACTTTAATGAGGGAAAATGTAGCAATTACCAGACAGTTTAGTTTTGAAACTCGTCGGCCATTAAGTTCATCCATCGCGAATACACCAATTAGTTATTTACAAAGCAAGTTCGATATCATCGGATACGATCGTCGATATTATCGGCCTTCGCGAGCAACACGCGTAATCACGACGACGATCGTCGTGTGCGTAGCAAGTGCAACGTCTAAAACGCCAACTTGGAAAATATCCATATCTGCGACGAAACTTTCTCGCGGGTAACCCGCTCACGTTCGCCAACGAGGCTGCAACAAATCCTCCTCGATCATGCAACGTCGTGGCGGTCTTGAATGCTCTCGTGGGCGCTTTCGCGGAAGCGAATCGCGGTTGAGGATTCAAACCACGAAACCGGCAACAAAAAAAATAACGAATCATCACTCCCGGGAAAAGCGAGTGTTTATTCTGTGAAAAGTTCGTGAGACTTCCTCCTTTCCTTAGACAAAAGCGCTTAGCTCGAGGATTCTCGCCTAGGGTGGAGAAAATATCCGCCCGGGGGCCAGGAGGAATTTTTGATTGATTGATTGACCTTCATTAGTTTTCTCAGTTATTTGTAGTACACAATTTTAGGTTACATTAAATAACATTAAATAAAATATATTCCTTTAACATTCGCTTAAACGGTTCGGATCCTTTCACGATGCTTGATTTCGGCTGGTTAGGTTAGGTGGTAAAGAGAGATGACGGAAAAGAAGAGAAAAAGAGGGACAAGATGCTAGATGCATCTAGGAACTAGTTTAGTGTTTACCTAATAAGTAGCGTTGTCAGTCAGCTGGTTTGTTGCATCCTCAGGCAGCCTGTGGCATCCAACGTCCGTCGAGAGGAGCGCCGCGCGGGTCTCTGTCTCGGGGCCGATGGGGGGCGCGCGCGGAGGGACACGCGCGCCGAGTGGTGGGGGGAACGCGGCCGGTGGTGGGGAGCCGCATGCCGCTAGTTATGCGGGATACTCCGTTGATCGTCGATAGACCCGCTTCAACTCAGTTGCACTCCGACCGCCGCGGTGGAATGTCGTTCTCCCCGGACCGTAGCAATCGTCGCCGTCGCCGTCGCCGTCGTCGCCGTCGACTGTAGTAATCGCATCGTCGGGTAACGCGAGGATAGTTCCGCTCGTTCATCGAGGAATGAGCGATCGGTGCCCGGTTGGTTGGCGCGAGCGGACGACGAGATCGTGGATCGTGTGAGCCGGGTGTGCTTCGCCGACGGCGAGCAAGAGTCCGGTTGGTTTATTCCCCTACGTTTCTTTTTTTTTTCCCTTTCATTTGCGATCGTGTTGTTCCAAGAAGTTTTCGGAAAGTGTCAGAAGGCGGTTGAAACGCACCGAGTGCTGGTGACTATGAGTGCGTGACGGTGCGAGCGTCTATACTCGAGCACCTCCTCGACAATCTTGTACCAGGTGCGCGATCAGCGGGACGGACCGGGATGGATAGCCGTTGCCCCAAACGATCGCCGATCGTCCTCGTCGTCGTCATCCTGGGCGCGCTGCTGGACGCGGCGCGGGGTCGCAGCATCACGATCCTCGAGGCGCCGAGCGGCTGCGAGTGGAGGAAGGACGACGGCAAGGATGGGGAGCAGGAGCTGATCTGCAGAGTGAGGACGATCGCGGACGTGCCCGGTCTCATCGGCAACTTGTCGACGATACAAACGGACTCGGTGACGTCCTTGGGTCTAGAGTGCAGTGACGAGAGCTTCCACGAGGGCGAGATCGACGATCTCCTGCCGTCATTGCCGCGACTCATGAAGCTGCGCGTCGATTCATGCAAGATCCGTCATCTTCCGGGCGGCGTGTTTTCGTCGGTGCACAACCTCCGCAGCTTATTCCTCCGGACGCGAAACGGGGATTTGTCGACCATGACCCTGGAGCTGGATCGCGACGCGCTCCATGGCCTGACGAGTCTGAAGTATCTCGATCTGGCCGACAACAATCTGTGGACGCTGCCGCCGGAGCTGCTCTGCCCGGTCCAGCAGAGCCTCGCGTGGTTGAACCTCACGCGCAACAAGTTACAGGACATCAGGTCCCTGAATCTATCGGATCGGATAGAGTCTTGCACGTCGAATCTCAAGATCCTGGACATCAGCAACAACGACCTCAGTGCCTTGCTCGACGGCGCGCTCAGCAGCCTACGTAGTTTGAGCGTCTTGAAGGTACAGGAGAACGCGATCGCCGCCGTAGGCGACCACGCTCTGGCTGGTCTCGAGTCCCTGCAAGCCCTCAACATGTCCAGCAACCGACTAGTCGCACTGCCACCCGAATTGTTCGCCCAGACGAAGGAACTGAGAGAGCTGATACTCAGCAACAATTCCCTCGCGGTACTGGCGCCCGAGCTGCTGGACAGTCTCGAGCAGCTCCAGGACTTGGACCTCAGCGGAAACGAGCTGACCAGTCACTGGGTGAAACGTGGGACCTTCTCGCGATTGATTAGTCTCGTCAATCTCGACCTGTCGTTCAACGCTCTCACGAGAATCGACGCGTACGTCTTCAAGCATCTGACCAGTCTGCAGATCCTCAAGCTCGAGAACAACAATATCGACACGTTGCTCGACGGCTGCTTCGCCTCGCTCATCAACTTGCACACGCTGACGTTGTCTCACAACAAGATCGTCAGGTTCGAACCGCCGCACACGATCGGCCTGGCCGCGCTTCAGCAGCTCTTTCTGGACAGCAACAGGCTGCGCGGTTTGCATAGACATGTGTTCGCCAATCTCACGAATCTTCAGGATCTTTCTCTGAGCGGGAACGCTTTGGCGGAGATCCCCTACGCGGTTCGCGTGCTGAAGTTGCTGAAAACCCTCGATCTCGGCAACAATCATGTATCGCGGATCGACAACGACTCGTTCTCCGGCTTAAACCAGCTGTACGGATTGCGATTGGTGGACAACAAATTGGAGAATGTGTCGCGCGAGGCGTTCGCGTCCCTGCCGGGGTTGCAGGTACTCAATCTGGCTAACAATATCATTCGTCACGTAGAACAGAGTGCCTTCTCCGCTAATTCGGTGTTGCGCGCAATAAGACTGGACGGGAACAAATTGACGGAGATCCGCGGCGCCTTCACGAGTCTCTCGACGCTCGTCTTTCTGAATGTGTCCGATAATAAGTTACTGTGGTTCGACTACAGTCATCTACCTAGCAGCATAGAGTGGCTGGACATACACGCCAATCAGATAAGCGAGCTGGGCGATTACTACATGCTGCGCAACACGTTGCGAATAAAAATGCTGGACGCCAGTTACAATCTCATCACGGCTCTCACGGAGGCGAACGTGCCGGACAGCGTGGAGACTCTGTTTCTGAACAACAATCGAATACGAAGCGTCGCGGGCGGCACGTTTCAGCAGAAACCCAATCTCGACAAGGTGGTGCTTTACGGCAACGAGATTGGGAATCTGGAGATTGGCGCCCTGACGCTTCCTACGGTGCCGGACAGCCGGGAGCTTCCCGCGTTTTACGTCGGCAACAATCCCATCGTCTGCGACTGCACTATGGAATGGTTGCCGCGGATCAACGAGATGGCCCGGTCGCGTCAGCATCCGCGCGTCATGGACCTCGACGACGTGACGTGCGACATGGTGCACGCACGCGCCACGCCGCGACGTCCGCTCGTCTCCCTGAAGCCCAAGGACTTTCTCTGCCGATACGACGCGCACTGCTTCGCCCTCTGTCACTGCTGCGACTTCGACGCGTGCGACTGCGAGATGACCTGCCCGGACAATTGCTCGTGCTATCACGACCACAGCTGGTCCAGCAACGTCGTCGACTGCTCCAACGCTGGATACAAGCACGTGCCCGAGCGATTGCCCATGGACGCGACGGAGATTTACCTGGACGGCAACGAGCTCGGCGACCTCGGTAGCCACGTTTTCATCGGCAAGCGTCGTCTAGAGGTACTGTATCTCAATAACAGCGGCATCGCCGCGATACACAATCGTACGTTCAACGGCGTCGAGGCGCTGCGCGTTCTCCACCTCGAGGATAACGCGCTGCGGGAGCTCCGGGGCTTCGAGTTCGATCAGCTCGATCACATGTCGGAGCTGTATCTAGATCACAACGCTATCGCCACCGTGGGCAACACGACCTTCAAGAAGATGCACAATCTCAAGACGCTGCGACTCGACAGCAACCGCATCGTCGACTTCCGCCCTTGGGAGGCCCTGCCGAGCGTCGGCGGCGGCACCAGGGTAGCGCTCGAGGGCAACGCCTGGAGCTGCGAGTGCGGGAACGCCGCCCGATTGCGCGCCTGGCTCGCGGAGCACCGGGGCGACCCGGAGAAGATGTACTGCCGCGACGGGGTCGAGACCCTCGCCCAGGCCATGGTGCGATGCGGCGACCCGTCCACGGAAGCCGTGAGTCGCGGCATCCAGGAGATCCCGCTTCTCGGCAGTAACTTTGTGCCGTTGCTCGCCGGCGCGCTCGTGACCGTGATCGTCATCTGCCTGTTCGTCGCCTTGGCCTTCGTCTTTCGTCAGGACGTGCGACTCTGGGCCCACGCGCGTTACGGTCTGCGCCTCGGCAAGATGGCGGCGCCGCCCGACGAGGAGCGGGACCGACTGTACGACGGTTACATCGTCTACAGCGAACGCGACGAGGACTTTGTCTCCAGGTTCCTCGCGGCCGAGCTTGAGCAGACCGGCCTGGCGCTCTGCCTACACTGGCGGGATCTGCCACCGGCCAGGCCTCAGGAGGCGCTGCCGCCGGCCGCGGCCGCCGCCAGACGCATCGTCATCATCTTCTCGCCCGTCTTCCTGGCGAACGAGTGGCAGCACGTGGAGTTTCGCGCCGCTCTGAGGACCGCGCTCGAGAACATCAGGCCTACCTCGCGGAAGCGCCGAGTTCTCGTCCTCCTCGCCACCGAGACGCCCACCCGGGACCCGGAGCTCCAGCTGCTCCTGCAGACGTGCACGGTGGTGATCTGGGGCGAGAAGAGGTTCTGGGAGAAGCTCAGGTTCGCGATGCCGGACTCGGTGGACAAGCGGCAGCGCGACACCAAGAAGGTCAACGACCGCAATCGCACGCCGACGAGGTACACCGCGGCGCCGTCCGTCGCGGTCGACGTCTGGACCAAGCCCAATGGCGTCCTCGCCCCGGTGCATCACGCGCCCACGCCGACGCCCACGCAGTCCACCTACGTCAGCTCGGCGTCCAGCCGCACCGAGGACGAGGACAGCGGCGCGGAGCACCAGCACCATCAGCACCACCCGCATCATCAGCACGGCTACAGCACGTTGCACGCGGGGAACGGCCGGCCGGCCAGCCTCTTCTCCAGGGGTAGCCACCTCTACAGCACGATACCGGAACCGCCGGTGGTGCCCACCGCGCCCCCGGGGGAGGCTCTCGCCCCCGCGCATCCAGGCAACCCGCGTACTTACTTCGTCTAGCGCAGAAGGGCGGCGATCGTGCTCCGATCCGGCAGGAGATAGACCGACCGACTCTCGCTCTCTCTCCCCCTTCGTTCTTCACTCTTCCGGTTGTTGGAAGCGCGATCGCCCGGCCGTGTCGCGATTCTCCCGGTCTCGTCTCGAGAGAGAGGAGATCGGGATGTGAAAGGATTGTCGCGGCCGAACTGTGTACAGCGTACCTTTCCGGTTCTACTGGATCAGCTGATCGATGACAGGCGGCTGATCCGAACGCGCCTAAGTAATGTTATATACGTAAACCAAGTCGATTCGATGCCTTGCGCTTATTATCGATGTAGCGACGAGTAGACTCAACGGCTTGACCTTTCCTTTTTCGAAAGAAAGACGGTGGTCCTCATTCCATTCTTCGCGGTATCTACTTTTTCATATCGTTGCGCAACGTTCTTCCAAGTCACGACCAAATACTTAGCACGTTTCGAACTTGCTCGAGGAGCTCGCGAGTTCCGCCAAAGCGGTTTGCTTTCCTCTGGTTTAAGTTTTGTAAATAATGACGCGATATCCGCGATCGATCTAGATTCTACATTTTTGCGCTCTTTTTCTTTAACTTATAACGAGCGAGACTTAGAATCGCGCGCATAATTAAGACTATTCGTTTACTTTTGTACATACATCTCTATCTTTCCAATACACAGTAAAAAATTAAATGTTAATTTTAACTGTTCATATGTCTCAGAAAGTCCAAAATATTAAGTTAAATTAAATAAAAATTAAATTAAATTAAATTAAAAATTAAGTTTAATTAAATTAATTTAAATTTTAAGTTAAAATAACTCATTCGTTGTTACTTATTGAGAGAGTTAAAATGTTAAATAATTGACACAATGCTTTGCATTTATTTTTGTTATCGTGACTTTAAGTGTAACGTAAAAATGACGTACAAATTAATTAAAAATTACATGAAAAAATAGTTGCAATAACTCGTAAAAAATGTTGAAGACATAAACATATAATAGTAATTATTTTAACTTGAATTTTTTTGTAATGAAAACCTTTGATTTGAGTAAATTTGATTATTTTTGTACGTCAAAGTTGAAGATTATTTCAAGATTCACTTTAATTTTTCTTAAAATGTTAAATTGACTTTGAGACATGTTGATTGTTTAAAATGATTACGTTAAAAATACTCGAAAGAAGAATACTACTCAAGAAAGAAATAATATTCCATTTCTAAGAGACATTTACAAAATGTTAAATTATGAAGTTGACATCAACGTAACACATGAAAACGTTATAAAAATAATAACACATATGTTGTATGTTAATTTTACATTGAAGTATTAATCAAAACGTGGTGACACAAGAAAATTTTAATGGATCATATGGACGCACAATTTTTTACTGTGTACTTTCCGCGAATCTCTTCGTTAATATTAATTAATTTATTTCGTCAAATCATGATAAATCATCTCGGAGACTCGAAAAGTGCGATCGAGCGAATTTTGTTTCAATTCCGCGATCGATGGATTTCTAATTTATAAGTCATTTTGCCGCTCGATCCTTTTCGCAAGCGACTACTTTCGTTTAGAATCGTGCCGTTTCGATTTGCATTAATTGGCATAACTGTCAGCAAATTCATCAATAGATTATTTGTCGTGGTTTGCACAAATACGATGATAATGATGATAAGTGAATGTAATCGGCAGCTGACGCACAACGCGATCATTTTGCGAATATTAATTATTCTCCTTTTGTTTCCAAAGCATCTTTTTCACAATAATTTTCTTTTTCATTCACTAAACAGTGATTGCAACAACAATATGAAAACGATATTACAAAGGATGAAAGAGTAAAAAAGTGTTCCATTTATATAAATATTTATTTCAGATACGCTTGGACGCATTTATTTCATATATCTACACGTGATACTTTGTTACTTTATTAGCGATGTAACCGTATTATATGCATTTGACAACTTAATTGCGAATATTTATATCCTTTTTTTTTCAACGATGCTCGAATAACGTTACACGCGAGAGAAGCGAGGCGATATTGTATTTTTCGTCGCTTTTCAGTTCATCCATTTGATTTTTAAACGGGCATCGAAAGGAATCATGTTTACATGGTAGATTTCGAGCCGTAAAAAACGCACGCGAAACACACATATTGTCGAGTAATATAATTTCCAGTGGTTGAAACGATGATAGGAGAGCGCACGTGTACGAAAATATATTTTCTCTCGTATTATAGGACTCAAAATTTTACGATAAAGTTCCTCGCGCACACTGACACTTCTTTGGAACCGCTCCGAGGTGCCACTCTTGGGTCATTTGTTCGCTGTCAATCGCCTCCCCCCGATTGGGATTGACGGACTTGACGGCGAATCGTCAAGCGTCAAACGACGGACAGACCTCGCGAGAGACTGTTCCTAAAGATTCACGACTGTCTTGATAAAGTAACGGTCGCATAACGCTTATTAGTCCGTAAGTCAACTCTCTGTAAATATTGTATCTAATTTTGTAAATACTCGCACATTTTCGAGCACACACACAAACACACACATACATACACGCAAACACACACAACACACACACACAAGACCAGCGCTGCGTACGTTACTGGTCGTGGATACGTCTAAACTATAATCGCGCGTTTAGGAGTGTATAATTCTAATTAATACTATATTGTTGTAAATACGCTCATCGGAACCACACGCATTATATATTCACAGTCTGTTAAATATGTATTAAATTAATTGCAACTTTCCATTTCAGCAAAGAACCATAAAAATAAACACGTTTGTTTTATAAAAAAAAAGGAAAAAAAAGAAAAAGAGTCGTCGCGTTTTCAATCAATCCTACAAAATTCCCGATTCCGATAGCACATTCGATAGATGTAATTAAATAATTTAATAATTAAATAACTATAAAATTAAAAAATTGAATTATTGAATAATTAAAAAATTAAAACATTAAAAAATTAGACAATTAAATAATTAAATAATTAAAAAATTGAATAATTAAAAAATTAAAAAATTAAATAATTAAATAATAAAATAAATATTAACATTTATTCGCCTCCAATATTTGGAGAGTCTCAGTGTCGGAGATGTTAGCGAAGGATTCTCGTATTGTCATCAAGAAGTAATGCGTCTCGCAAATTTATACGGTCGTTTGCTGATCGATAGCGTATATCGGCGATATGGTCGAATCTGCATTACGCATGTATGTAGAGCAGATTTGAAATTCAATTACAATATACATATGTATATCCCGACGATATTAGGCAAAAATGTACCGCATCTCTTTCTCGGATATTTCTCTACATCCGGCCCGATCTGCGCGATCCTTGCGCTGCTGCTATTTAATTCGCGAATTTAACGACGTCGTCCGCGACTTTAATTTTTAATCTTATTTTTCGAGAAGAACAAGAAAGAAAGAGAGAGAGAGGAGCAATTCTTTTGTCGCGATTTCGTTTGTACGCTTTTGATTATTTCTCAGCTTCGCAATTGCGGTCGGGTGTCGAGCAAGGACGGTAGCTCGAGAGGAAGGCAAAGAGAAAAGGAGGGAAGAAACGCGACGCAGAATAATTTACCGTAGAGTAATTCTCGTCCGCGGAAAACCAGGACGACGGTGACATGTGTCATGCAATTTGGATTAGAGCGAAGAAGCGAATTTTCGAAAATGTCGCGCTAAATAATAATCCTTAGTCTCCGACAACTGTAATAAAGGAAATGTCTGTGATACGTCACGATTGTCAAAATTTAAGTGGATAAGGATAACAATCTACACCTCTTTCTCAAATTATTTGACAGATGTAATGCAACGCGACGTTTAGAAAAATGTATTTTATACTCAGTAAAAAATAAAGTGTTAATTATAACATTTTTCACATGTCCCAGAAAGTCCACTCTAAATTTTAAGTAACTCATTCGTCGCATTACTTATTGGCAAATTTAAAATGTTAAATAATTGACACAATGCTTTATACATTTCTTTTTGTTATCGTGACTTTAAGTGTAATATAAAAATAACATACAAATTAACTAAAAATTACATGAAAAAATAGTTGCAATAAATCGTAAGAAATGTTGAGGACATAAACATATAATTATTTTAACTTGAATTTTTTTTGTAATGGAAACCTTTGATTTTAGTAAATTTGATTATTTTTGTACGTTAAAGTTGAAGATTATTTCAAAATTCACTTTAACTTTTCTTAGAATGTTAAGTTGACTTTGAGACATGTTGATTGTTTAAAATGATTACGTTAAAAATACTCGAAATAATATTCCATTTCTAAGAGACATGTACAAAGTGTTAAGTTATGAAGTTAACATAAACGTAACACATGAGAACGTTATAAAAATAATAACATATATGTTGTATGTTAATTTTACATTGAAGTACTAATCAAAACGTGGTGACACAAGAAAATTTTAATGAATCATATGGACGCACAACTTTTTACTGCGTACTTTTCGCGAATCTCTTCGTTAATATTAATTAATTTATTTCGCCAAATCATGATAAATCATCTCTGAGACCCGGAAAGTGCGATCGAGCGAATTTTGTTTCAATTCCGCGATCGATGGATTTCTAATTTATAAGTCATTTTGCTCGATCCCATTCTCAAGCGATTACTTTCGTTTAAAATCGTGCCGTTTCGATTTGCATTAATTGGCATAACTGTCAACAAATTCATCAATAGATTATTTGTCGTGGTGTGCACAAATATGACAATAATGATAATGATGACGCACAATTTTTTACTGTGCAAAAAGAATGGATACCCCAGGTACAACACAATTGCTTCTGGTTTCTCCCTCGTTATGTCATAAATCGAGGTATCTGGAACAGGTATCGTCGACTCTTAAATTGCGGGTACGTGCGCCGAACGCCTTCATAAGGATAGGACGACTGTCCTCCTCCCCCCGAGACCGAATCGCACAGAAAGAGAATATAAATATACCCTCGGCGAGAGAAAAATATTAACAGCGCCCCCGCCGAATATTATCGCTTCCGGGCGGCTGGAAAAAAAGCGTTCGAGATTTCTTCCCGGTTCTCGGGCATCACCGTTTCAGGTCACGCGCTTAAACGCAACTCGGTGACGTAAGTTAGAGCCGCCGCCGTCGGGGGAGAATTACCTCTTTAAAAAAGAGAGAGAGAGAGAGAGAGAGAGAGAGAGAAAGAGAGAAATCGCGCCTTCACGTGTCTTTCGCGTCAAGCTAAATAGCGTTATCGGGGGATGCAAGCGATGGTTGGAATATTGTGGAGCATCCCTCCCCCTTCCTCCCCCTCCCCCCCCGGGAAGCTTCCGGAAGCGCGGGTGCACATGCACGTGCTGCGTATATACAAGATTCAGATATTTGAACGCCCCGTGGGCCACGGATGCCGGAAAAGAGCCGTACCGTGGCTAATGACATTACGACTTTGGGACGCTCTCGGGCAAATTACATTCGCCAGGCGGGGTAGGATCGTGGTAAAAGCGAATGGTATAATAATACGATTCGCTGATATCGAATGAAATTACGCGGCGCGTAGATGCGTTTGGTAATTAAAGTACCAGAGAGGGGGGGGGAGGGGAGGTAATCGAGCGAGGTCCTCTTCCTACTTTTCGACAGACGGCAAATTCCCGATGGAATTGGAACTCGCTCGTCTTTGGAGCTCCTCTCTCTCTCTCTCCCGGGTGGGGTGAATCGCGTTTAAAACTCGATAAAGGATTACGCAGGCCGACAAA